CGGCAACGGTTTTAGTTGATTTATATTTTGGAAAGAATGGTGCGATTAAACTACACCATCATTATCACTACCACTACCGTATCGTCGTCACGATCACGTATCACGCATCATCACCGCCTTTTTATCCAAGATACAATCGACCATTCCCCTGCTCCGCCGTAACCATCGATAAGCCGCCACCGCAGCAAGCACCGTCCTTGTACTCGAGTATGGTGTAATCAGTGTGATACTTGACCCTTTCTACCCATTAGGGAGCGAGCTACACTGAACTGGGGAGGCCGTTCCATTAGAGTACTTGTAGGTATGTCTGTACGACTGCTGAGGACTCAAATTCCCCCGAGGAAAAATAATAATAATAATAAATGTGCTCGTGAGGGTACCCTACCGCACCACACACGATCATCCTTTTTCTCTTTGCTACAGAACCGGAGATCCATGGTGAGTAACCGGAGTGCAAAGTGGCCATTCGACCCGGTGCTGAAGGAGCGACCTCTTTCCAAACGATTTACGGGGCGAAGATCTCTCGAAGCACTGGCAGTGGAGCGATCCACAGTACCGTACCATGCAGAGTGCTGTACTGTACTTGTATCTCATCCTTCATTCATAAAGGAGAACAAAAAAAAAACCCCTTCCATCACCGTGATACAATAGCACTATTACCCAAGAAATATAAAAACGAGAGCCTCTTTTTGTTATTGTTCGAGCAAAGCGGAAATACAGCAATTTCAGTAATCAAGGGAGGAGAAAAAGCCACCGAATTGGGTGGGAAACCCAGAAATTCGTGACAAGCTGTATCTCACATGCATCGCCCCCAGTCAACTTTGACATTCAGATCCCAGATAGAGATGTATCAGACTAGTCCTCTAAAGGCATCCTTCTAGAAGCTTCCTAGTGCATGGAAACGGGGGTGGAGCGTAGTCTGTGTAACACAGCTAAAACCAACTTAAACATTCTGCCGCCGTGTTTCTCCCGGTAAAAATGATGGTAATAATAAAAGTAGATTGTCACCCCTGCATTTGCATCCCATCTTTCCCCCCCCCGAATACTTTCCTGCTCTACTCGAGTACATGTCCTCCTCTGCAGGCAGGAGATACATTCATCCTTTACCCATCATACAATTACTTACGGTGCGGGTACCGTACCTCATTCCCAAGTCGACTCTCGTCATAATCCTCACCTCCTCACCATAGCTCGCACCAGGCTCTCTCCCCCCTTTCTTCCTCCTTCCGGAATCGCACCCATCATTGCAAGCTAGCCCACAACCAGAGCGAACATCCATTCGTGCTATTGCAAAGGGGCCCAGCCTAAATAACCACGCCCAACCACCAGGGCTAACCCTATCAACAGCCCAATCACGAGCAGGATCTTTTTCTTCCCTTTTTTTTTCTTTTCTCTGGCCGTTTCCCTGTCCTATTTTCAGCCGCAGATGGATATATACCCACAGTAGGTTTATATTAACAACACACCTGCATTGTGGAGCGCAGCACGAGCACAAGCAGGCCAGATCTAACAAATTAAAAAAAACAAAGCAAAACAACAAAAGATCTAATCGAATTGAGCCCATCGGACAATTCGATTAAATCCCTCAGTTGAGGTGGGGGAGGGGGAGGGGGGGAAGGAAACGTTGCATGTATGGATGGAGAGGGGAGGAGGAGGAGGAGGGCAGGCAGGAAGCAAACGGTGGTCTTCTGCGAGCAATAACTAATCGACGATTGTTCCGTCTAGCCGTAGGTGCAATGGCCTAAATAGGCCTCACGGAAGAAGGTAGATCCTCGCCTTGGGGAACCGGTATGGCATGTCACATTGCATGGAGCACCGTACTCCGCTCGGGGAGAGAGCACCTGTACTGTACTCGAGTACTCGAGTACAGGTAAACACCCAGACAAGTGGTGTTTGACCCACTACGGTACGGTACGGTCTCCTCATAGGCACTATTACACTTCACTTCACTTCACCACTACTCGTACTTGTACTATACTGCTCGTACCGCACAGTACACTTCCCACAAAATATATCACTCCCCTCCCCTCCCCTCCGACATGGCCAATCACCTACCGGTAATCACCCAACCACCACCGCACCCCAGTTGACCAACTAACCCGAAACCTTACCCACTTACCAATCACACTAACCTTCAACCCCCAGCAAATTCGATACCAGTCCCACCCCAAGCACGATCCAGTACCAAACTTGCACTCAGAGCCTGAGCCTACCATCGCTGTTGTACCCTACGTACGCTACACATGCAAACCCATCACATCGTTATACAACCCCTCCCCTTCCATCCATGATCCTTCCATCCTTCCAGAACACCTCAGAAACCTCCCTTTTTTTTCTTTTTTCCCGTTTTTCCCCTTTTTTCTTTTTCTTTTTTTCTTTTTTTCTTTTTTTCTTTTTTTCTTGTTCCTTTCCCCATCACTCTTCCTCACGCATCCCTGTAATCACACACAAAAGTACTGTGCACGACGACGACAATACGGTACTGTGCGAGCAATACTAGCTGTACAGTGCAGTTACCGTGATTTGCAGATACGCTACAGGCATCATACGCCTGTCCTACCAGCTAGAGAACCGGTGATCAGGCGTAGCCATACAAGTATGATAGTATCAAAGTACTGGGTTAAGCTTTTTCAAAGCTTCATGTGCGCGGCAAGTATCGTACTTGTTTATGCGCTGGGCACTCTCACCTATCAGACGGATGGGATGGGCCCATCGGATATTGACCGGCGACGTCGTGCACTATACATACAATACACAATCGTTTCCCCATCGCGGCTGGTACCGTACCACTAGTTGAACGGATGGATACGATCTACAGTACTAGGGACGACTTATCCGCTGCGCTGGTACTGACGTACAGCATAGCACAGTACAGTACATGGCAGGAAGAACCCAAGCACTCTACTGTACCGTGACCAGTCGGTGTCTTCATGTTCGGCGCGACGTCGTAACATACGTATCGTGACAATCTGCCATGGGTGGTGGTCGGCATGCATGTGATGATAAGCTACGGTATTGGGACTGGTCCCCACGACTACCCGTAGTAGTAGGTGTCCAACCAAGTATCGGGATATCATACTATATAGCTTACGACTGGGAGGGAAGACTAGGCAGGCGTAAGCTTATCTACGAGTACGGTATCATACTGTGCCTCCACACATCCACACTGCCTAAACATGGCTTCAAATCACCTGCGGCCTAGGAGCATGATAATTTAGCCTAGCCATGCCATATCATATATACCAGCATCACCTTCTAGAAAAGATATATTCCTTTCCTCTTTTTGCTTGATGCTGCTGGGACCGCCCGCTACCAATGACAAAGGGGAAAAAGAAAAAAAGAATAGAAAAACCTTTGTCTATTCACGACATAATGAGTTGCACAGCATTCTTCGACTACATGTCTATCATACAAAAAACCCCGGGGTGAAAAAAGTGAACGGATCGGAGCAGGTAGGCACACGCTATAATGCGATTCGAGTGATATGATATAAACCCCCCCCCGTTGGAGGGTACAACACGAGACGGATAGACAAGATAGACAGACAAAAAAAAAGAAGAAAAAAAGGAAACATCAAAGGCAAGACAAATCATACCCATGTACTGTGCTGTAGTGGTAGTGCATCTGCTGTGCAATGCCAAAGCTAATAAGGCCACAGCACGAAGGATGAGCGAGTGGTTTTGAATAGATAGGTAGATACGATACTTGCAATCACATATCCCTACTATACTACCCCCCCACTCTCCCCACCTCAATTTCGTCCCTCATCCCACCAGCACATGGTAGATATATGAGATATTTAACTTAAAGACGGAGGGGGAAGGAAGAAGAAGAAAAAGTGAAGCAAGCGATGGACAAGATAAAGTATCCTACTCCCCAACCCCGAAACCCTGCAGCAAAAAGCGTCCCATAAACAAAAAACGAACAAAAACAAACCGATGATGGCAATGATGATGATGATGATAGAAAAGACAAATGGACAGATGATGCTTGATTCCCCCCACCCCTCACTCACCGGTGTGCACACACATCCCTCATCTGCTCACCTGTTAACAGCAGCCTACCCAACCAGAATGTACCCTCCAAACATCCTTTAGCCACACTAAATGCGCTTTAGAAAAACCGGTCCCAAGCAAAAAAGCAAGAATGAAAAGAAAATATGAGATCCCCGAGAGAGTAAAGACAACAAAAAAGTGAAAATTATTTTTCATGAACATCAACCCAGCACCTAGAGTATAAAAAAAGAGAAAGACATAAAAATAGAGAAAAGGAAAGAAAAAAAAGTCCAAGTCATGCTTTTGGGTAATGAGGCCAACCAAGGTCTTCATCCAAATATTGTGGTGAGCACCTACTCTCTTCCTCCTTCTTTGCCATTTTTCCCCCCTCCCTAGAACCTCCTCCCACTCCCGCTAGGGCCAGCCGGGGCACTGCCACTCCTGCTTCTCCCTCCAGCTGCCCAAGGAGGAAAGTCCGAAACCACGTCCCTATACGCTGGCGTAGGACTTCGTCGCAAGAGCCGTTCCCTTTCCACACCCCTTTCCAACCTTCTTCTGCTTCCCTCATCACTGTCATCATCATCCTCACTACTACTGCTCCCCATCGACGATTGGCTGGTATAATCGGGTGGGGGGCTGTTTTGCCGAACAATGTTTCCTCCAGTATGGGTCGATGGGGAAACATTGATATTGGCCAATGAGATATCCGTTGGGCTTCTTTCCGGTCCCAGCGATGTGGGACTGACTGCAGATGAGCCTGCTCTGCCAGAATTCGCAAGACCGGTCTGCAAAGTACTTCCGCTACGTCCCCGTCCATGCTGATGTGGAGCCTGTGATTCAAAATATCCACTAGGGCTTTGTCCTCTCTGCCCAGTTTCCAACAAGATACTTCCTTGCTCGCTTCCATAAGGCGGTGGAGGCGCCAAGCTTCCGGTGGTTGGTGCAAGCCCCCACTTCTTCACGTTTGCTTCGATGAACACAAAGCCTAATTGACCAAAATTTACATGAACAGTGCAAGGGCCATTGGCGCCGACAGTTGGAAATAAGTTGAGGGATTTCAGTCCGTGAGCAACATCTTCAAGCTTCTTGCCATTCCGGGTGAAAAATATTGTTCCGGTCCTTGGGCGGTAACCAACACCAATAACATCGCCTTGGTGATACGAAGGAGCATATGGTGTGCCGTGGAACGGTTGGTTGTGTCGTCGCTGGCCAGAGGAGGTGTACGCGATTGAGTGCTTATGCCAACCTATCGCATGATTAAAATTCACTTCCCCCTATTCCTCGACCATGTATCCGCCGATGGGAGTTATAAAATATGAACTTACCTGGCAACCGGAACATTGGATAAGGTTTGGTCGACATACCAATACTTAGCAAAGTATTCTCCGGCTTTTCGTAAAGTTTCGCTTCCCAGTAGTAGACTTCGTTCTGTTTTGGAACGGGGAGGTTACTTTGGACCGAACAAACCGAATCGTAAAATTCAATCTCTGTCCGCGCTTCCACAAAGCAGTTGGCAATCTCTAGCTCGGCCTCAAATTCCCACGCCGAAACACCTTTCTCTTGAATCGCCAAGAACTGCGATAGGGATATGTCGGTTGGAACAGAATCAGGAGGGTTTGCTTCGATAAACGCTACACATCACCGGGCGGGAATCATCAGTAAACTAGGGCCTGTTCAACGCAAGAGGAAAAAAGTATCCCGATCGGCATTTATGCTGCCCGGAGATATCAGAAAGCCTACCCTTCGCTCTCAAGTACTCTTGTCTCGAAATCTCGTCCATCTGTTCCAAAGTTTCCGCCTCCTCCCTTGCCAGAGCCTGTTCATCATCATACTCTCCAGGCCTCCCTATCCTATCCAACCATATCCTTCCCCGTGATGTGTTCCGAAAAAGATAGATGATGACGATGATTATTCCTACCAAGGCCGCTGATCCAAAAGCCGAGAGCAAACCGATCAGTAGACCTTGACCAGCTGCGGACGTAGTTTTGGGATCCGATAATGCGGGCATGTTGGGGAATCTATTAGAAGGGCGCGGGTGGAAGGGATTTTGACTTCGAGAACTATGATAAACACTATTTGATGTTGATGGGTAGAGGTTAGAGTGATTGACCGAACGTGATTTTAGACGAGATCGCTGATTTGTTGCGACGCCCATTTCAACAGGACCGGAGGTTGAAAAGGGAAGAGGTGCGAAAGCCAACCGTCACAACAGCTAGCAGCGGTGGATGTCCTCAATAAATTTGCAGGTGAGATGATCGGAGGGGGGGGGTGAAAACGTAGGGAACAGGTTGAGTGGTGGTGGGGATGGGGTGTCCAGATTAGGTGAGGAAGGGCACGAGAGGGTGGAAAAGAAAGGTGGAGATACTGGTAGCGATGGGGAGGGGATGCAATGGGCGATATTCGTTAAAAGCAGCAAGGACAGAAAAAGAAACAATTTACAGCAGGGAGGGGCGAGCCAGCCACCAGCAGGGAAGCAGACAAGCAGACAAGCAAGCGAGAGCGGCGCAAGCAAGAATGAAGGGATTGGGGGGAGGTAGGTGACAAGCGCTGAATTGGTTTTAGGACGAAAAGTGAGAAGGCTAAGGGTCGGCGGGAAAGACAACTGAAGCGAGGGAGGGGAGGTGGTGATTGGATGAGTTCACCATGAATGACGCCAAGGCCGAACTTCTTCACGCAGTGGTATTCGCAGCTACATTGAAGTCTTTTCTCCTCATGGGTCTCCCTCTTTTCGAACATCGGTACCCTTCCGGTGTCTATCAAGCAGTATACAAGCACAGCAGCTGGGTCATTCAGATACCGGCAATCTAGTTCAAGGCGGTCGGTTGATCAGAGCTTGCTATCGCACTTTGCTGCCCTCTCCAAAGCGGCGGGAGGGTAGCAGAGGAGGGAAATCGCAGTTCGGTGTGCGTTCCTTTTTCCCTGTGGCGCTGCGCACCTAAAATCGGCATGCCGGTGCCCGTTGTAGAAATACTGCTGTTTAGTATTCTTGTAATTTGTCAAGCTACCTATCAAGAACCAGTCGTCCTAACTACCGTAATCTCTCAAATCATAGAATTCAAGGTGAGGGCTTATTGAGCTGTTCTCCTAAGATGAACATTTCAATGCCTGTATTTGCCGTTCGTATTTCAGGCTTCGACAATTCCCCCAGATGACATCTGCCACCTGAGTGTTGTCTCATCAACTTAGCTCTTGCCATTGCCTTCGTTACCCGGCTGCCGGCATAGCATTCCTGCAGTCTCAGTTTCCATCATCCTAAGGCAAGATCTGCCGTCATCATCTGTAACCGCATGGGAGGAGCTTAAGACCCCCCATATCCCGGGCGTCCCGACTTGGGTCTGTAAATAGATATTCCGGCATTATTTAAGGCTTCGAAAGCCCGGTTCAGAGCAAAGACTCCTGCTTCTGTGGAGAGCGATAACAAGGCTGCCAGGAACACACGCCCACTCCACCAGCGAAGAAAATGACGGCACAACGCCATCTCCTACAAAAAAACAGGTTTACTCTGAATAAAAATCAACCGGCCAAAGACATTTATTTCAAAATACCAACATTGCACTGATAGACTCAATTGCCTCTCAAAACCACCTACGCAGCTCTCAGAAATTTCCTCACCACATTGCCTCCTAACCCCCATTCCTTCCGAGATGGCAGCCCAAGGATTCCCGACTCGCTGTTCCACTTGAATCAACTGGAAGGGCAGAAATAATGTCTACATCCCCAAAGCACAGGGATGTAAGGCGGAGAAACAATAGGACCAGTGGATGAAGTTATTTTCGCCCCAATGCCAAATTCCTGGTTGATATCAAAAATTTGAAGATTGACTATTTTCGGTCCCTTCGGACTATCTTCCTCACTTTTCCAATGCCACCGGGAGCACTGCAAGCATTAGGGTTAGTTTACCATATCAAGTGCCCCTCTACTCCACGATCTTATAATTTTATCGCCCGAAATATCTCTTGGTGCGAGCAGAGTACTCGTACAGGGCGCCCACCCGAGCACATTCACAAAGGGTTTAATGTTCGTGTTGCTGCTTGCGCTGCACACTATCATCATGGAGCCCTGTGAACAATAACTAACCAAACCTAATGCTGGCTCTCACGCGAGAAAACCCCTGCCAACCATTTTTTGTGGCATCATAGCTCACTCGGAATCTCTTTGCAACGCCATTTCCCTGTCACGCCACTCGCCTAACCACTGCTATCCTATGATTAACGTTTGTTTTGGCCAATACGGCAGTTACCGAACTTCCTGGCCGCCCAACACCCGAGTCCCAGGAAGGCTGGAAGTTCCTTACTCGTATAGGGTAAGGTGATATTGAAATTTCTATTTATTCCTACGCGCGCCATGGAAAAACAATCCCAGGCCACCAGGTTACTTGTACTAGTGCTGGTGGATCTATTGTTCCAGGGACTTCACGGCGGGCGATGTGGGGATTACCATGGGAATAGAGATGTACAGTACCACTTTGTACGATGAGAATATGCTATATATTTGCTCAGTTGGCCAGTGTTGAGTTCCGCAATGGATATCGGCGACTCCCAGAGAATTGAGGATTGCTCCCACCCTTTGAGATTTTTTATCTACCGGTATCCTAACCTACTTGTAATATTTAGCACTGAAATTTCTCGGCAATTGCAACAAATTATTGGTGAGGACTACGAGCAGGTCTGTTGGCTGTCTCGATCGTCGTAAATGTTTTCTATGTCCCATCTGCAGCTCTCTCAACCTCACTGGAGCAAGCAGTCTCCACCCACGGTGCACGCCTTAGGACCGCCGGTATTCCACTGTTCGGTCTTTAAGCTTCCATACGATAGTCTGCTGTACTCGTACAATATCATACTCGCACAAGCAAACAGGGGCAGACCAAACCTCAGTTTCTTCGCTGGCACCAAACATGTTGAGACAGTTTCAAAAACAAAAATAAAATTGTTCACGCGCT